TCGCAATACTGCAACTCACTTTTATTATATAAAATCAATATAAAAAAGTGAATCGCAATACTGCAACTCACTTTTATTATATAGTAGAATCAATAGTTTCAGGTCAACAGGTCAATCAGGTCAGGTCAATCTTCATACCTGACCTGAATTTTTTTTAAAAATCTCATATCATAAAGCAGTAAAAGATTTCAAAACTGATGTGATACAATTCTTCAATGATGTACGTGATAATTATACCAATTTTTAGATTCTAGCTTTTATCAAATAAGTGATATCACATCATATATGCATGTACTAGACTACTAGTATATAATATTTCAGAAATATGCACATTCATCATTAATTTGGTTTAGCTGCATTTTCTTGTTTAGCTATAGAAAAAAAGAATCACCAATAAGTTTCTCATTTCTTTAGAAAAACAACAAAAGATAGTGATGGAGAAAAAAAAGAAAGTCTGCAATTATAGATATTCTTAAATATAAAAATAGAACTTTATATTTTAATAATTGCAATGAAATTGATTTAGTTTTAAAACCAAAATGTCTTTGTATATAAAAATACAAAAAAATTATTAATTTAACTTTATATTTATTTAAATAATTATGTTAATTATGTAAAATTAAAATTTGTAGAAAAAAGTATTTATATGAAAAATAATTTTTTAAAAAGCAAAGTTACAAAAACTTAATTTTTAATATAATATTATTTTTTATATGTACAATAATATTATATTTACAAAATAAATTTAATTTTTTTTTTATTTATTTTATTTTTTAAATTTTTATTATCATTACCCTTTCCCATGTTCATCTAACAATTTTCATATGTAAAACTATAAAATTTATGAAAACAAATCCTGATGAATAATTAATATTATGCACATCTGATTTTATTTTTTCCCTTTATTTAATAATAATTTGTATAGGTTTTGGTTTGTGAATCATCTTTTTTTAGTTTGATCTTAAAAAAGATTGAGTTCTTGAAGAGAATCCAGCTTTTGAAAAAGATCAGAATTATTTGGATTTGATGGTAATTACTAGTATGATAAAACAAATGTTTTCTAATGCTATGAAAAATATTTAGCATTCCAATTGTCATCTTTCAATATATGTGATAAAGTAGAGTAAATATCAATGCCTTTAAATATACATTTATAATTTCCTGTTCTTGGATAATAATTATGTATATACCCTTTGAAAATATCAAAAAACTGACTTTAATTATAATATGAATATTTCCAGCATGTTTTGAATGCTGTTTCAGTTTTTCTTTTATATAATAAACTATTATTTTTTGTGTCTCTTCAATTGTTCCTTCAGGCAAATCATATATTGTTGGCTTTATAGTATTAGCATCTTTAATGAATTTTTCATGTTTAGCTAAATTTAAATGTCATTTATAAATCTGTTCACACATTTTACATTCCAGTATGTTGCAGGACGTATTATTTAGAATTGATATTGTTAACATATTTTTTATTTTTTTTTTAAAAAAAAATAATTAATCTAAAAAAAAATTAATTTTTTTTTTTTTTTTTTAAACCTTTATTATAGATGTGATCATGTCCTATTATAATCACGCTTACTTACATATATAAACTTACAAAATATAAGATAAAAAAATACATATAAGAATTAAGCATTATGAAACAAGACTACTTTTCAAAAAGAACAAGTCGACCTGTCACCTAAACGATCACTCACATCATTGTTAAAAACGATGATGCGACCTCAAATTCAAAGGTTCCAAAAAAAAATTAATTAGTTAATGTAATTTATAATTAAAAAAAAGGTCTTTTTAGGCTAAAAGTAACATGTTATTAAATTCAGTTGCTTACTATAAAATTTACTGATGGGTTTCTTATATAGTTGATGGATTGCTTAGTATCGTTAATATTTAAAATCATTTTTAAAGCCTGACATTTTGTGATTTACAATAATTCGCTAAGCCACCAGATCCTATGATTTATGTTATACACAAAAGAATATGGCCAATTTTCTCATCCACCCATATGAAATGATAGTTGTCAAAATGGATTGATAACATATTTCAAAGATTATAAAAGTCCACTATTTAAATTTTACTAATTTTTTATGCTTGTAGTTTAATGTGTTTTCAATTATTGAAGTATATCTTAAATAATGAAAAAAATAGTAAATACTAGTATCAAAGTTGGTTTATGAATTTGCTATGTAAAGGTATATTTCTTGATTTAAACTGACTATCAATGTAAAACTGATAAAATCTATCATATTAATATTATATATATATATATATTTTGTTAAATATTATGATTTTTTTTCTGACAAACTAATTTTAATAATATTTTTCTTATTTTTATAGGATAGATTTATTAAAGAAATAAATTTTATAGTAGAAACTTTGAAGAGTTGTATCACACAGCTGATTGTCAACTTTTAATTCAGCTATATGTTAAGAAAGTTTTATTATTATATTCAGAAAAGCTATTACAAATGTGCACACTTTGCAAATATGTTAGGATTAATCAACTGGGCAATTTTAATAAATAATAACTATAATTCCGAGCAAAATTTAAATAATTTTGGAATAAGGTTAATAAATGAAATACATTTCATAACATTAATATAATAAAATGTTAAATGTTAATAAATAAGTCAAAGTGTGTAAGAACAAAATTCAATATGATAAAATTTAGTAATATTACATCATGTTCTCGTAAGCTTATTAATTCTTACTTAATTTATTATGATTTATTATCCAGGAAAATTACAATTAAAAATAGGTAAAATCATCACATTGAATATAAAACGGAATACTAAAAATCCATTTGGACCATTGTCATAGACTAAGATTTTCATTAAGTGATCGATCTACTTAATATTGATACTAAAGAATAATTCGTTAACTGTTTAATGACAATTTTAAAAAGAAACATGGATATAACCGCCGATCTTTTAACCTGGAATGTTATGATCCGTAAATTAGCATAATTAAATACATTTTATTAAGAGATTATCGCTTGTAATATAGGGTTCATTTAAGGGTTTATGTACAGTATATACTTAAACTGCAATTTCTCAATAAAAATTTATTTTCTCTTTATTACTCTTTCCTCCTTAACGCTGCTCTTTATCATATTAAGTGATAAAAAAAATTCACATTTTGACAATATTTTCTAAATTTAATAATTTACGCACATGAAAATTTTTTTATTGGTTGCTGCGGTTGATCTTTTAAGCAATAATGTTTCCAATTTGACAACTGATCTTTCTTAAAACCCAGATTTGGATTGAATAATATATGCGGTACTGCGTCATTTTTTTTTTTCTTTACATGATCGACGTTACAAAACTAATGTGAAAAAATTCCAGAGTCCAGACCCATGCATTTAATAATCGGAAAAACTTGATTCGAGTTAGAACAATAGGCATTATATACTTTTCGTTACATGATTTGTTATTTAATTTAGTAATTTACACTATTATTTGTTGAGTTTCTTGTTTCAAAATTTAAAGGTTAATTTTTTTAATATTATTTCACTACTAAGGTAACACCACTTTACTTTTAAAGTAAATTGATTTTAATACAAATATTATTTCACACGAAAATGATTCGGAATAGTGGAACGAAGATCTGTTTGTTATTCAAAACCTGTTCGAGACCTGTTTTAACTGCGCCTCAAAAGATTGTAATATGCGTACGTATACTGATATATTCTTTGACAACTATGAACATTTATTATTTTTTAAAATTAAGATTAACATTGAGAATTAATCAAAATACAATTTAATATAAGAAATAAAGGAGACACTTTGAGGTAATTGTGATTTATAAATAAATAAATGATTGTGGATAAGAGACGAAGGAAATTATGATAATTTTTTTTTTTAAAGAAATAATAAAGAAATAATAAATAAATAAATAATAAATAAATAAATAAAATTCTATTCACAGTTAACGATCGAAAATGATCGTAATATTATTATTATACAAGTCTTAATTATGTATTTCATTTCCATTACCAACTTTCATAGCCCAAACTCTAATATAGTTCATTCTAGGTTTATATTGATCCCATTCATAATCTTTACAATTATTTAATAACTTTAAATATTCATCTTGTGTAATATTCAAATATTTACAAAGTCTAGGAGCCATCATCTTAAAAAATTCTAAAAAATTTTCAGAATTTAATTTACCCAATTCACCTCCCCATAATCCTAATGGTTGTTTTTTTATTACTTCATTAATATTTATTAATTGATTCGGTGAATGTTTTTTAATCCAATTTGAAATTAATTTTGCCCCTTTCGGATTTAATCCTGATGAAGTAATGTATTGTTTTAATGAATCTATTATTTTGGTATAAATTGGTCCTGCTGATGAACATATTATATCAGTTTCCGAAAATTCGATATAACAAGAAGGTTTCGTTACTCTAATTAATTCCGGAATCTTATTAAATTATAAAAAATTAATATCAAGTTAATTAATTAAAATAAATACCATGAATAATCTAAAAAACATACCACTATATTTTGCCATTGTTCTTCTGTGAGAGCGAGGCACATATGACCTATATGTACATAATCAAATTCATTATCCTCGAAAGGAAGTCCATGAAGAATATTAGTTTGTATGAAAGTTGTATTGGCAGGTTTTATTTGATCAGGAAATATTGGAGACAAATCAACACCGAAGAAATGAGATTTTGGATTTTCGGTCGCCAATTCTAAAATCCAAATTCCACTACCACATCTATAAATAAGTGACACGAATTAATTAAAAATAACGTAAAATGTATAATATTTATATTTTTTACAACTTACCCAACATCAAGAACTTTGCAACCCGACGAAAGATATTCTTCGACTGGAGCTGAAATGTTACCACCAAACATATGTTTAAAAGTATAATGTTCTGATTGTGCTCTATCAATTTCTTCAATATCAATCGGTGTTAGATCATTAGCAATTTCTTCATCATAATATTTTCTTCCGTTAATATATTTATATTGTATGTTATTAATTTTAGATCGGGTTTGTGAATTTTTTTTGGAACCAAAATTTCCCATAATAATAATAATAATAATAAAAGAGAAAGCAAGAAAGCAAGTAATAAATAAATAAATAAAGAAATGAATGATATATCTTTTTTTTTTTTAAAAAAAAAAAGAGAGAGAGAGTGTGTGTGTGTGTGTGTGTAATGCAACGAAAAGAAATTTTTTACCAAATTTTACAAGTATTTATAAAAAAATAAAAAATATATGGATTGATTTCATAAGCAAAATCATAAATTATTCGTTTTTCAATTGGATAGTAAATGATGTCTTTGCATAATTTTTGATATAAAACTGTCAATTCATTAAATAATTTAATTATTTTATATATTCATTTATATGCAATCTTATGCAATATGTTAATATTTACGATAAAAGTAACCTAATTAAAAATTATGTAATAATGGTAAATATTTTGATTTAAAGTAAAGTGTAGAAACTTAAGGTGATACAAGACATCATCGATACATTTAGACATGCGATTAAAATGGTATTTAATGCTTTTCAAATCTAGAAGATAGATAATGATTCTATCAGATTTCGGGTTTAACCGGATTGAATTATAAATTTGAATCTAAAGCCACAAAAAATTAATTTCAAAAAAAAAAACCCCCCGATTTCTATTACAAACGATGTAATACTGAACTTCGTGAGATACCGGAAATCGGGGCGAAAAAATACTTAAAACGGTTAAAAAGGATATATAAATATAAAAGATATTCTTCCTAAATCCTAATCATTTGATTCTCGCATATTATCTAATTTAATTACAATTGGTCACAATAAATCAAAGGGCAAAATCATCCATTCTTTTAATATATTAAAAAAGTTCACATGAAATTTACGTGTAACTAGAAAAATTATTATAATCATGATAAAAGAATAAAAATGGAGAAAATGAGCATTAGGTAAACATATAGACTGACAAATCCCGATTTTCGAACTTAAAATTTATTTATTTTTTTTTTTATTTTATTTTAATCACTGAATTTGGACATTCGGATAACGTCTACTATTTAGGAAATCAGGGGTAAATTTTAAGCATAAGAAATTCTAGAACAAAGAATAATGCATCTCATGACCATTTCTTTGGTTTGTGAATAATTTATTTGAAGCGATAAAATGTTACGTCATGCATAACAATTAAAAACAATTGAATAAATATTTTTCTCGCACGAGCGCACGGACAACTAAAATATACTCAAATTGGTTTATATTCTCAAGTAATTTGAACTGCGCCACATTCAATGCATTATTATTCTCCGAAATCATCAAAACGATGATCAAAATAAATAAATTATTTGATATAACGTTGAACAAACCATTTTGTACTATTGAAATTTTCCTGTATTGTCGATTCGTAATACCAATTTGTTTTGGTCCTTTCTTTATTTGACAGGTTCTGGTTTATTTGTTTTTCTTCGTGTTAATTAATTTCCTTAACACGCTATCGTTTTGAATGTTCAATTACGTAACGATTTAGCAATTCAAAACGCATGTGGAAATTTTATATGATTCAAGACCCAAAGACTAAGACCAAGTGAAGCAAGTTTGACGGCAGTTTTATATAACTATAATCCCATCCCATGTTAGCTAGTAGCTAAACTGTTTGACTAATCAATATATAGTAAATCTTCATTTTATAAACATAAACGTATATGGAATTTATAATATTATAATATTTACATTAATATAAATCCATATTTTAGTTCTTAAATTTGCTAATATTAAAAAGTCTAAGAGATATTATCTTATCTTATTTATCAGCTCTTTAAAATAAGGTTTAGTTCGTTAGAGGTCACAAGTTTATGCGATTCTGGTTCACATGATTAGTATATGATTTCATCCCAATAAAATCCACCATTTTCACATTTTCAGTAATGTTGGCAATTTGAATATAGATCACGCACATACCAAGCAATACAATAAAAGTTCTATTTAAATAACGACCGTGTGCAAATAACGATTTCGTAATAAAAGAATGACCTTCGCAATTTTTGTCACATGACAATATCATTTATATAGTCATATGAGAAGGTAAATTAGGTATAACGTCTTATGACCGGAATTCATAATAAATAACGTCTTCTAAAGAACTTGTGACCGGAATTCATAATAAATAACGTCTAAATAATTGTGACCGGAATTCATAATAAATAACGTCTTCTAAATAACCTGTAACCTGAATTCATAATAAATAGAGTTTTCAATCACATGGTTTCCACATAAGTAGAAGGTTAGAAGGGTTTAGTCTGAGAGTACCAATTAATTTTTAAAGTTTGAAAAATCGCCAAACTTCCTCCCAAAGAATGTCGATTTACTCTGACTAATGTTTCACTTAAAGAAGTGATTTCTTTTTTTCGTTTTTTATATATAGCAAAAAAAACCTTCATGTATTTTAGCATTTGGTACAGATGGAGAGTTTAGGAAACTTTAATAATTATAGATCTGGTTTGAAAGCCTCTTCATCATTACCTGTGGCTACTATAATTGCTTTCCCTTTATCATTAATCCATTATTTCTTGTAGATGTTGGAACTTAAAAAAATTTTTTTAGTCAAGTTCCGTATTTCCAATCTGAGGTACGTGGTACTAATGGTTTATCACAGGAATGTGAAAAAATACCTAGCTATAATTTAATTAGCTTCAGTTGCAGATGCAGGATATATTCAATAAATCAGTTGCAATAGTGGTGATAGCTAACACTGATCAAGATACTTTCTATTGGGGAAAAGATAAATTTCTAATTCCTTAACTCCTCCTCCATCTAATAATTTAACACAAAAAATGCCGGCAGTTTTTTACTTTAATGTTGCAAATGTAAAAAAAAAAATTTATTCTAGAGGTGATACATAAGGAAGAGGTAATATCAGAGATTTTTTTATTGGTGATGACAATGACAGCTTATTAGATGTGACGTTTAATAGTAACAAAAACGGGCATTTCTTTATTCATGCATCTGATATATAAAAAAGTAACAAAGAAAATAATGATTTCAGATTTATATGTTTATTATATCTATGTTACAGTAAAATAAAAATTTCCGTTTTTAATGAAAAAGAGGTTTGGGAAATCACGATATGCGTGACATATAATAATGACGAATAGGATTTTTACATGATAGACGAGTATAAGTATAACAAAGAGTGGTATAAATGAATGGAAATACACGGTAAAATCGATTTTAGAGAATTACAAATCGTGGTGATCATTTTGATCACACGATGAATTGCCACGTGAATTTTTTTTTTTTAAAAAAAAAAATTCTCTTACAGTAACTTCCCCCCAAAAAATTGGTTTTTTTTATATTAGAATGCAAAGGCAACAAAAGGTTTGTTTTGAATTCAAGCTTCATTGTTGACATATAGTTAGTTAAATACTTAAATCACTTCATAGTTCATGCCATAAAATATTTCTATCAACGACCTTAATATATAATGGAGCAATCAGAACGGTTGTATGTAACGGATAAGCTTCTTATTTTTTAACGTACTGTAAGTGTGATAAGAATTATTCATACTATTTCTTTTTTCCTGAGGCCATTAGAATATTATTTAGCATCAATAACACAACAACCCAGGATATTTTTAAACAATTCTCATATATTTTATACTAATATCATGAAATTATTCAAAATCAGAAAATAATTGCAGACGAAAATTGTATCCTAAAAAGGGATCCGCTGAGAAATTTGACGTCAAGCAAGTTGTTATACGATAACGTGAATTTTTATCCTTGGTGCAGTAAGTGACGAAATATAGAATAAATTAAGTTCGAATTATATGAAATATATTCAACGCAGGAACTAAAAGTTCGATCTTGATCTTTGAAGCAATTAAAGAGACTATTGAGGTTAACACGCGTGGAAAGAGTTCATGATGATGATAATTTTTATCTGCAACTTTTTCTATTGAACGTTTGTCCCTTTCACGATGAACACCGTGTTGATTTTCATTTTTATTTCTGGTTGTCTCCCATTTCTTCTGCCGCAGAGTAGGTACCGTACTTATACTCTGATAACGAAAGTTTGATGTCTTCGGTATATTTAAATATTTAGTATTAACTATTTGTTATTACCGATCCTTTTACTTATTTTATAATATTCGATATTAGGTGGCTACAGTGATAGTGGTACTTTTTCAAATAGAAGCTTTAGAAAAAATTCTTTAATTTTAAATATTTTTTTGAACATCACATCTTTGTTCATTCGGGTCTTCTGAATATAGAATGTTATATCGCAATAAAGATTATGATCATAATAACGTTTCGTTGACTTAATATAGTGTATACGTGTAATTTCCTTAAAAAAATCATCGTAATTTGACGATCTGTTTGAATGTTGATATAAATATAACAAGATTTCAGTCAATCTTACCACGACAACTTTTCTCACGTACATGCACAAGCATTACTAATTCTTTTCTTTTTAATGCTCATAAAAGGTTTAACTAATTATTTGCATCTAAAACCTCTTTAAAAATTTATTAAATTGACAATTGGCAATTTATAATGAAAAGCTGATATCATTCACGAGTTTTACCCACAGAAAACTTTAAAATGACACATTTTTCGAATAAAGAAGTAAAAATATGTTAAATTTAATTTATTACGGTTTTTTATTAATTGATTAATTACATTTACTCAACACAACCGCAATGAAACAAAAGGTGACGTTCGTGGGTTCGGTAAAGTAGGAATTTAACGAATGTACTTTGAAGAAAATTTTGGGAAATACACTTTTTTTTTTTAATAATAAAGAGACCATTTTCTTTACAGGTTAACAAACGAAGTTAACGGTTTATTTACCGAGTTAAGCAAATTTAACTGGTATGGTCTTTTTTTTTTCATTTTAAGAAGGTAAGTTATTCAAGGAACTGAGGAAGGTATAACGGAAGAATCTCGAGACAAGTTTGTATAAAGTTATTCATTTTCTTAAAATGGTGTCTATTTCTAGGGTGCGTATTTACAATTACAAGCCAAGCACTAAAGAGTAAAGACCGAAAAGGAGGTGATACT